TTTGGGGAGGGAGGTATACTGGACCCTGAAAGATGTGCCAGGAGTGGGGGAACAAGATTTTCTTTGCATTAGACTGCAATAATATTTTCAATAATTTTCCCCATGGTCACACCAGTTGAGAAATGTTGCCCTTTGTTGATCCTTAAGAGTAGAGTTCCTAGCTTCTGTTTGCCAGAAGCTGGGAATGGGTGACCAGGGATGGATCACTTGATGATTCCCTCTTCTGTTCATTCCCTCTGAAACATCTGGCATTGGCCACTGTCAGAAGACAGGATACTCGGCTAGATGGACCACTGGTCTGACCCAGTATGGCCGTTCTCAAGAACAAAATTTTGTAAGTTATAATACTCGTGTGGCGTATCGGAGCCAGCCTTCTGAAAGAGTCTGGCATAGACATATCCATTGTCTGACTTTTCTAGTTATACTGTAAGCTTACTGAGGCAGGGACTGTCTATTACTATGTCTGTACAGTACTAAAATAATGGCCCCCGGTTTTGGTTGGGGACTGCAGGCACTAGTATAATACAAAAGAATTACCAGGATGGCCTCACCAAGCCCTATATAAACCAGGGTTAAGTGTCCCTTGAGCGCCAGAAAGGTTACAAGGACCGGCCATGCCAGGTGTAACAGAGAGGCTGCAGAGTTTAGTAGTTTACTTTTGTGAATGTACTCTTGAGACAGGAAAGAAAAACAGAGACGCTGTGCTTACGGGGACAGGCTACAAAACCATGCAGGGACAGTCAATAGGTGGACCGTAGGCCAAATCCCGACCACCAGACACTTTTGAACAGACCCTGAACTCTTTTCTTTTACTTATTTTTTTCTCTGGAGTCTGGAAATTTGGACCCTGACAAAAAATAATTGACTCCCCCGCTCTACTGCGACCCTGCAACTACAGTAAACAAGGATATAGGGCGGTGTGCAGAGGAAGATGCAGCAAGACTCTGGGGTGGCCTAGGCTGGGAAACTAGTAAGGTTTTAGGACATCTGGTGAGGACCATCTGCCCCTCGAAGCCCCCTGTTGTGCACCAAGCCGGCAGCACCCGGGTGTAGCAGCAGCCGCAGGCCATGGCCCACCTCAGGGCTGCCTACAGCTAGGCACGCCGGGCTGCCCCGGGCCACACGCGGCCGGGCAGCGCCCCCGACACCGCAGCGCCC